TTAATTTGCTTTTCTCTGACTAATAACAATCTCCATGTGGTTTATTTAATTTATCTTTTGCCTGCATTGTAGATCCTTTTATGTCAGTGATGCTGTGGAGACACCTAATGATCATAGTGATATCGATCTAAAATTTGCAGAGGTAGATTTTAATAATCTGTTTTAAAGCATTATTTATATTGGTAATACATTCTTTCAATATTTATCTTTCCTTTTGATAAGATGGCTTCCCTTTCATTAGTCTGTTAAGACTATAATACAACATGCTCCATTCTTAGCCATTACACTGATTTGGCCAATAAAAGCTATGTAGTGATTACACAATTTATTGAAGTACAATCAAATTTCTTTTCTTCCATATAGTGTTTCGGAAACTAAGGTTATGTTCGACTGGATGGAATGACTATCGTTGGTCAATATGTAATAAAGAAGAGTATTTCAAAATCCAGAAGATAAGAATAAGGTTGGATATTTTCTTTTTTTGGTACTACATCTTTCAATATCCAGAAATCACATTGGACACTAATTAATTCAGAGTTGATTCGGAGTTGAGCCCTGTTGGACCCTATAAGGGGAGAAACTCTTTCAGCACTTGTTTCCCTATTCATAAGACTTGAACTTGAGATCTTACTTAAAAGACGTCCAACTCCTTACACTTTGATCAACAAGTTGTTGGTTGGATATTTTCTTTTAAATTAGTGAATGAGATAGTAATTATTAAAACCCTTGGAGAAGATAGTACTGGCTATTCCTATCAACATTCCAAAATCTAAAAAGGAAAATATGCAACATATCTCACCTTTTTCCTTGAGTGTCAAGCACTTCATTTTATCTTATCTTCATCCATTGACCAACAAATAGTAATTCCATTGAATCAAACATAGCCTCAAGTTCCTTCCGCACCCATTTGTTGAAATTGTGCCATGTTTTAATGTAGACACCATTGATAGGTACCTTAAGACTCTAATGGGGGGATAGGATTGATCTATGCTGAACTGCAGGTAGATATTTTAATACTCAATAAATGCGTTTCGGATTAGTCTACACTGAAGTGTTGCTCGAGGAAAGATGCTGCGTCAATCCTCATTTAGTTTTTTGGCATAGAGAATTGCATGCGTTGAACAATACGAAGTTGTCCAGATGGGAAACTGAATTTAATTACCAAAGTAATGATATCTAAAATAGAATTCGTTAAATGATTATTTTGGTGATCTGAAAAGCACTTCAAGTAGTTGGATATGCTCCGGATTTGATTTGTTGTTATGTCACCCTACTTTAGCAGTACATCATGCAAAAAAATTTGCTAAATTCTAATTACTACTTCTATCCAGGTACCTATTTTCTTTCACTGACATAACTTAACTATGGTTTGAAGGCGGCAGGATTGAAATTCTATGTCCCCAAAGAATGTTTTAGTGCTTAGAGCTGTTACAAGTATGTTCCATCACTTACCTTTTCTTAGACAATGCTTTTTATAATTCTCCTATAGTTATTGTTTCTGGGCAATTAAGGAAATTCTTAATTAGTCCCAAATTCAAGCAATACATGCACTAAAAGAGTAAAGAAGGAAAAGCAAATGATGGAAAAAGAAATGAAATTACTACAGTTACAATATCACATGGTATTGTAAGTTTATAATATGACATATTATTATATAATTGGTTATTTTCATTTAAGGGTTCACTCAAAATATTGTATAAATTCATTCATTTAACGTAATATCATATTTATTTAATACTAGTCGTGATTATAAATTTACAATTATGCATGTTATTGTAAGTATATCATTAATCCTAATTGTTCTTGGAAGTTGCTTAGGTGATGTATTGGCCCTCCCTATTATGAAGGAGATTCTGGAGATCATGCAATCAAACGTGTGAAATCAAGAAGATTGAGCCTATGAAAATCAAAGAATGAAGAAAATCATTCGTTCCATGAAATTATGCTTTGATTTTGCAATCTGTAATTATGGAACTGATTATTTCCTTATGTACTATATGAGAGTAGCACAGCACTGTATATATAATGAAATCTCTGCAGAGAATACAATCAAATCAAACTTTCATCCATTTGTCGATCTATCCTTTCTAACACCTATAACAAGTTTTACAATTTTCTACTGTTAACGTGTGGAAACTAGAATGTTTATGAATTTGTATTGATGTTTGTTCATGTTAATTATACATAAATGTTATGGTTACAATCCTATATAGGATTACAACCTTACAATTTTACGTGAAATGAAATAAAATATGATATAGTATTAAATGAGTAAATACATATAATATTATGAGTGAATTTTTAAATAAAAACAATAAATTATATTATAAGGTTACAATATATATTATAACTATAATATTTTTGTTAATTATAAGACTAACCATTTTAATTATTAGTTTTGTGTGGAAAACTTGAGGAAAGCCTTATATTTTTTCTAAAAATGTTATAGTTACAATGTATATGGCATTTTAAATTTATAATATAATATATCATTATACAATTAACTCTTTTTATTTAGGGATCTATTCATAATATTATATCCATTTACTTGTTTAATACTATGTCATGCTTTATTAAATGTCACATTTATAACTCAAACAATATTACTGATATTTTTTCTTATATGGCTTTTAAGAAAACGGATAAGGATGAAGAGAAGATAGAAAACAATAGGCT